TCTTCCAAGCATCAATGTTGTAACTGAGAAGAACAGTTTGATACCTAATAAAAATAAAATTAAATGCAGGTGGCAGCCAATAACTCTAAAGCTAGCAGTAGAGCACAACATCATTCTATTGGTCATTTATAAATGAAGACACTTCAGTCTTACGAAAAATCTGTTGATAAGAACTCAGCCAATGAAAACTGTAATTTTTCTTATTTTTTACTAAATATCTGCAGCATTTACAGAAACAGTTTTATAAAATGACAGCAGGGATTTTCTCCAGTCCTGAGAAAACAAATATGTTATTTAAGAGAAGCTTGAAAAGCTGTGCTGTCCTAGGAGCATCCCGAGGTGGCTTGGAATGGTCCCCACCCATCAACTCGCAGAAGACGCTGCCCTCGGAGCCATCCAAAGCTGCTCTGGATCGTCTGCTTTACTTGCAGCTGCAAAGAGCCAGCTCTGAATTTCTCTGGTCAGTTTAGTAAACATCTTGGACTTACTTCAGCATGAGCTGAACACAAACCAAGTGATTCAATTTGGACAGCTGCTACCACCAGGACACCCTTTAAAACAGACACGCTACGTGCGCACGTGCTTTCGTCTGCCTGTGTCTAGGAAGTCTAGAGGGATTCAAGAAAGGATTTTTCCTCTCTGCATCCAGCATTCTCTGTTAGCAGCACAAGTGCCATTCAAGTATGCATGACGACCATAAATGACAATTTGTTTTCTTCCTTGCTAGGCATTCAGTTGACTGCAAGCTAAGCCATAGCAGCAGAAGTGGAATTCTAAGTGGATTTGCTTCTCCAAGCAGCTTCCTGGTTCTCCGAAATATTTTTCCCCTTTGTTTTTTCTTGTTGTTTGGACAGCTGAATTTTCTTCACAACTTTTGTGTTCCTGTAATATTTTTTCCATATGCAAACAGGCTATTAAAGCCACTTTAGCTATTATATTCATGTCAGCAAATAATTCCTGACACGGCTCAAGGGAGAGTGATTTTGCTCACCAAATCAACTGCGAACGTGCAACAGGGCCAAAAGGTTTGGTTTTAGGAGCATAAAGATAAACACCAGTAATTAATATTTAAACACTTTATATAAAAAGAATGACATTACTCCTCCCAAAAGAGCCTGGGTGTCTACAGCTCAGAGTTGGCAGCCTGTCTTTCAAATATCTGAAGTAAAATGTGCACATGATAAATATTGTATTTCATCAGCACCATCAATCGAAAACATTTGACTAATCCAAATCTTACAGCTGCACAGCCTGTAACAAGTTCTGTTGCTTTCAGAGCTAAGCAAGAGAAAGAAGTACCTTGGGGTGGGATTTGAGATTTAAAACCAGTTTCAGGCTGTATTGCTATATTTATGAATTATTTGGGGTATCACTCTACTGCTTCTCCGTGACACAGGGATGCCTGTAGTTTCTTTTCAGCACTTCAAAAAGAGGCCCTAAAACTTATGCTTCTGTGAAATTACTTTATTCCTCACGTGCTGAGGTCCTACAGCACTTCTTAAACTTCAGCTCTAACTTTAAACTCTGTTCTCACAGCATGATGAGCACCATGTCTTTTTGGTCTACTAGAGTTTGGAGTGGACTCAAGCAGTGTCTTACCTGTTTGCTGGAATGGACACTGTTTTTATTCCTGTTGTTGTCCAGCAGCCCCCCACATTTGCCCAACGCTGCCAAATCCTTCATAATAGAGTTCAGAGCTTCTTCTTCATCTGCAAAAAAAAAAAAAAAAAGGAGAGACAATTGAAGTGTGGCAGGGCAACCTCACCCCTGGGAGTGCAAAGGAAAAAATACAGCATCGCAAAATACAGTCTTTCAACCCAAAGGGGTTAAAAGACACAATGTCCAGCCTTCCTGTTGAGGGAGGCATTCAGAAACTATGCCACAGTCCCTCCAAGCACAGTGTGTCTTGGAAATACAGGTTTTCTCATCATAGGTGAGAGAGATCCTCAGAAAAGCCAGTGGCTGAGTGTGAGTAGCCACTGCTCCTCCAGCTCCTCCAGCCTGTAGCCCATGCCCACTGCCCACTGGGCCCTTTGCAGAGGGACCCACAGGCCAGAGGTACTTCCCAGGGCCTGGATCCAGTTTGGGAGGTGCAAAATGATGCTCTGGGGGACAGTAGCCTTTAAAGGCCCACCAAGGTCCTGCAGTTCTTCATCTGCTCCTTTCCTCCCTCTTCCTTAAAGATGCTCATGAGCTACAACTGATTTTCAAAACTCAAAACTAGAGCCAGGGAGAAACCAATGGCAAGAAAACCATTAGAACAGGCAACAGACTTGACTATCCTGGATAAAAGGGAGACATGCACTGGGAACCCATTTCTGATTTCTGCAGCAAGTAAACACCTTTGAGGGATGCATTTTATCTGAAACCAGTCTCCTCCTTTTCAATACTTTCCTTTTCAACACTTTTACGTCACATGGTCTTTTAAAGCAGCTCTTAACTGTTCTGTTGTGAAATACCAACCATGGGCACAAAAAGCCCTAACAAGATGGCACCACGTACTTGTCTGGAGAGTGTGAAAACCTGTTGCTTGCTGCCATGCTCATGACACAATCATGACAGGCAGGTTATTACTGTAAAAATACAAATATAGCTACAGCATGTTGTGTAAAACTGGGACAGAGCCACCCCTGCTCCAAGCCAGCCTGCAGATTTAACTCCAAGTCTCCAGAGATGTGCAGGATGACAAAAACAAAAATACATATGTTAAACCAGAGGGGACTGGACCCAAACATCAAGGTTCTTTCCCCAGGGAGGGATATGTCCTGGATCTTCATGCTCAGATACATCATCACCTCCTTTTTCCAGCTTCTTCTGCTGGGCTGTGTTAGGACTGAAGTTGTGAAAAAAAATAAAAGGTGTGATAAAGCTTTGGGTGCACAGCATGTGTGGGAAGTCTGTCTCATCAAAGAAATAAGGGGAAAAATTGGGGGAAATGGGTAAAATCCCATGTCACTTTTATTTCAGAGTTCAGAAATGAGCTCTACTGCCAAATCAGCTATGAAGAAAATTCCTACATTTTCCTGTAGGCTGTGTGTATATCTAGATAAAAATATATAAATGACATATACTTATATATGAAGAATAAATAGATCATTAATAACATCCACATCAAGTACAATAAATTGCAATTCCTCTCCCCCCTTTCACATTCCCTTACCCAGTAAAAACAGAGGTTTAGGTTTTTCCAGAGGGATGGCAGGGAGCATAACCTGAAATGCTCCAAGAAAACACTCAAGAAAATTAAAAGTTTAATTTCTAGGGGTTTTTTTTTGGGGGGGAGGGCTAGAATTTTCCCATAGTTTGATTTTTTTTATTATTTTGTTTGTTTGCTTTTTGATGTTCTTAAAAGGGACTTCTGGGGACAAGCACAGTTTTCCAAATGGATTCTGTAGTAGGAAAATAAAAAGAACACACAAAAAGAGATTTTTAAGGGGGAAGGGAAAGGTTATAAAAAGAAAACAAACCCACACAAACCCAAAAACTTCACACACTGCCCTCCAGGAATTTTCCACCAAAGCTATAATCTCTAAAATACCCCTCACCCCCTTCAGTTTTTTTCCAACAGGAGTGACAGCAAAGGTTTCCTGAACTTGCTCACACAAAATGCAGTGCAAAACACCATGGGGAAACGTGGCTTCAACAGGCAGTGGCAGAGCTGGGCTTTTGTGAGCAAAACCACCTGATTCATCACTGCTCTCCCACCTCCAGACCACCCTGGACATGCCTGGTAGGATCTTCAAGGAGATGCCATGTCTGGTTAACCCACCAGTGGGTATTCCAGGACTAATAGTCAGCACTGCCTGTCCCAGGGAGGGGCAGCAGGGTCAATAACAATAAAAATAATATTAAGCCAACAAACAAGGACAAAGTAACTTCAGAGTTTTCTGGAGTGACTGTCAGCTGCTGCCTGCCTTCCTCCCAGGAGAAAGACCTGACAGCCCCCAAGAGCTGGACACATCCCAGAGTGCTCCCACCACATCCCGTGGGTAGCCCAGAGGATGAGCCACACAGCTGAGAGCAAGACCATGAGCCACAGCTTTGCTGGGATGACTGACAAGCACATGGCACCACTGAGGACACCAAAAAAGAGAGAGACCATTGAGCTGAAGTGGATCCTACCGCTATTACTGCTAGAGATGAGTAGTCAGGGTCACTGCTCCAGGGTCACTGCTACAGGGTAGGTGACTGTCCCTGCAGGGACAGCAGGCACAAGGAATGCAGTTTCACTAGAAGGAAGCTGGAAGTGACCAACCTTGCAAAATAAGAGAGACTGGGACTGGGTATCACCTCTGCGTGTGCAGAAAACCTGGACCTCCTCACTGCTTATCCTACCACATGGGGCTTATGCTGGACACCAAGGCAGGGTATTCAAACTAGGGACAAGCTGTTTACTGGTTGACAAAGCAAGGAAGGCCAGTTTTGCACAGAATTCTGTCTTCTCATTAAACACCAAGGTTTTCCAGGAAAGAGTAGGTTTATATTACATTGCCCTCAAAGCAATAACAGACTCTTCCTTCTCTACCTACCCATCAGTTTTGTCAAAACTTTCTGCAATGCAGTTCTCTGAGTCCATCAAATACAGCTTAAAACTTCCTGCTGCTGCAACCTCACCTGCATGATTGTGGAAGCAGCATTTCCTTAGGAAGTCCAATTACACATCTCTGCCACAAGCCTCCTTTTGCATCTCTCCCAACACAGCAAAGCAAGAAGCAACCACTCACTCTCAGTTACTGCTTAAATTTAGCCCATTTTCAGAAATACCCAACCAGGAACTGAACCAGCCTAGAATCAGTGGTGTGAAATTGGGCCCTAGCTGTTCTGAATCAGGTACTAGAAGAAACACAAAACAAAACAAAACAAGCAAAAAAACAAAACAAAGCAAAACAAAAAACCAAAAAAACAAGAAAGAGAAGATATTCCTAGTATTTAAGCTGTCAATTCACCACCTTTGTTCCTCCATCTACTAGAAAGCCACTAACAAAGAGCTTTCTGAAGAGACTTTGAGAATTTTTTTATTCTAAAACATGGCTAGTTGTCAAAAAAACCAAAATACACATCCATGCCATCACTGCTGCAAGATAAGATAAGAAAACTTCTTCCTACATGAGCAGGAAAGGTTGCTTTCTGCTGCTGGATTGTGAAAGAATATTACTTAAGCAGGAGAAGAAACAGGTTATTTCTCTGAAGCGATGCATTTTTATATTCCTAAGTAGGTTTTTAACCACTTCTAACAGAGTGTTTTTAGTCCAAGAGGACTGCAATTTTAGGGGGGCTATGGCTGAAGTCTCAAGTGTTCAAAACAAAGCAAAAAAACCCCACACCATGCTCTGAAGCAACTTCAGAGCAGGAGCACAATTTGCATCATCGGTTGCAAAACTGACACTTCCCAGTCATCTCGATGACAGCCTTGCACAGGAACTGATGCTTTCCAGACTTAAGCCTCTTGCCCATCTAATTACTGCTCTTGGGGTCTCCGAGCTGACTCCCAAGAAGGGTGGAGAACTTTGTTCCATGGAAATAAGCAGCCAGCTCAGCCAGTTTAGTCAAAATTCAAACAAGCACTGAACTTACTGGATAATTAAATCCAAATGCCACTCCCGAGCCTCTCCAGCGACAGGGGCGTCACAGGCTGCTCACTCTGCTTGGAGCCAGCAAAGGGTCCAGGATGAATGGCTCTCCCCAGGGAAAAAATGCCAGGGAATCCACAGGAATCCCATGCCCTAGGGACAGTGCAAGATCAGGTTCTCCTGATCTACCACTGGCAGGACCCCAGTAGGCTTCAGCCTTGGGACTACACAGCAATCATCCTTCCTGGCTTTGCTGCAGCTCCAGAGCAAAACAGCTGCAAGTTGCACAACACCAGGGAAGGATCCACAGAGCTCAGATGGACTCAGAGACTCATGGAAACCACTGACTTTGAGTAACATGAGCAGGTTTTTGCTCCTGAACAACCTTCTGGCCCAGCTTCACTCTGGCACCGCTTTGTACAAATTCACTTAAGGTATTGTAGGTTGACAGGATGAATTATTTGTACAATGAAACCTGCTCTCTTCCCAGCTCACCATATAAACAGGAATATTTCTACAGTGGTAGACCAGGACAGAGAAAAGCTGATTACAAAGACAGCAAAAATGAAACGTAAAAAAAAATCAATTGTGTTTAGCACTGTCCCTTAATCCCCAGTGTCTCTTCTTCCCTCGTCAGCTCTTTCTTTATTTTCAGCTATTCCCCTTACTAGGAAACTCATTTCTTTCTTCCCTACTTCCCACCAACACCCCACTTTTGTGCTTTTTAAGCCAGCTTCCCATGACAAAGCTCATTTTTTCACACTGCCAGGCCATCCAACCAAAGACCACTTCCAGCCAAATATCACTGAGGTCTCAGAGACATTAATTTCCCAAAGGTTTGGGGATTAGGGGAAATACCTGTAGTCACACAGAGGACAGGAACAGACAGAAGTAGTAAGTCAAGAGCACTCCCAGAAGGCAATGACCAGTGGAGCTACAGTGGACACAGGAAGGTTGGTTTTATACTTTAATATAAGTCCACTGGTCCATCCTGTCAGGACCTCGTGAAAAACAGAGCATCATCTTCTCCCAGTTTTCATTTCTGTAAGGTGTTAAGATTCACAGGTCCCAGGCACTACCAGTGTGAATCTAGGGCATTCAGCACTTCGTGAA